GGTGAGGGGGAGGGGGGGCAGCCGGCCGCGCCCGCCCCCCCCCCGCCGCCTCTAGGGGTGTCGAAAGCCTGTGCGGAGTCCCTCAACGCTTCAGCCGGGGTGGCCCTCTCCAGTCCCGGCTGGGGATTTCCTGGACCCGCTCTCCTGGCCCCCCGCAGCTTCTGGCGGGAGCTGAGTTAGGCGCGCCGGCTTCGCCAGAGTTCCTGGCGGGACCGAGAGCGAAACGGCCGGCGGACTCCCGGGCCGCGACGGGACCCCTTTGCTGGCGCCGGCTTAGAAACGGGCCCTTCTCCTTGCAGCCTGGGGGAGGATTTCTACCGAGAAGCCATTGAACACTGCCGTAGCTACAACGCCCGCCTGTGCGCCGAGCGCAGCCTGCGACTGCCGTTCCTGGACTCGCAGACAGGGGTCGCTCAGAACAACTGCTACATTTGGATGGAGAAGACCCACCGGGGCCCAGGTGCGGACGCGCCGCTGCCGCTGCCGCTCTGTGAGGCATGCCCCCTGTGCTAGGCACTGTACGTAGTGCTGACCCTCCCCCAGGGGCCATGCGAGTCGAGCGCACAGCTGGGGGGAGGGGGGGAGAGAAGCGAGCATTCTGACTTCACGAGGACTAGGAACCTGAAACGGATGTGGGCGGCTCCCCCGGGTCCTGGCTCTCCTTTCTGAGCTCCCAGTGTATCACGGTGGGTTGGGCTCAATGATGGAATAAGAACCAGGAGAAATGCAGCCTGTACGTAAGGCACAACTGCCACTGCCTGGAGTTTGTCATGCCCCAGGAGCATAAGGCAACCCGTTCGCCCTTCAGCTTTCCCCCACACGGGCCTGTTCAGCTTCAGGGGGCCGGTAGAGCAGAGGCTCCTCTGCCGCCCTTCCTTCCCTCCAGATGCCAAGGGCAGGAGGCTTGCCCCCCTCCCCACGTTCCCTGCCCAGTTTAGGAAAGACCTCGGGGAGCTCACCTGTCTCTCCTTCAGGCCTGGCTCCTGGGCAGATCTACACCTACCCAGCTCGCTGCTGGCGGAAGAGGCGGCGGCTGAACATCCTGGAGGATCCGCGGCTGCGGCCCTGTGAGTTCAAGATTGGTAAGGAGCTGGCGGGCGAGGGGCCCAAGGGCTGGGAAGCAGCAAAGGGTGGTGGGGTTGCAGGACTGCTCCTTCCGGGGCCCTGGGTCTGCAGTGGGGCTTTGCCCTCGGCGGTTCCCCCAATCTCTGCCAGGCCATCCCGGCCAGGGGCTGCTGTGATTCTCGGGGCTTAAAGGGGCCAGTTCCAAGCAGAGCAAAACAGAACAGATTCAGCTGCGGCTAAAGGAAGAAGTTGCAAAAAGGCCAGATAAGGATTTGGCTTCGAAGAATGGTTTATAAAAACATACATCAAGCCTTGCTTACAGGGGTGGGCAGATTATTTATTTATTTATTAAACAAACTTATATAGCTGCCCGACTACCAGAAGGTGCTCTACGCAGCAAACAAAATCAAAGCGCTGTACGATGATGAGACCACTGGAAACAGTTCCCCTCACAACATTAAAACATGCCCTCTCAGGCCTGAGAGCCCTGCAGAATTGCTACCTGCAGTCCTGGCCTCCCAGGTTGTGCAGGCTGGAGCTGATGCTCCTGGCCAGCATCCAGATGTTGGGTCTGCAACTGTGGGATGGGATTCAAGGCAGGTTCTCGTCCAGATGGACCACGGGATGGCAAGCTTTTCTGCTGGGACGCTGCACGGCTGAAGGCCCCCTTGCGAAGTCCTGGACAAGTCGTTGGCAGGGGATTCTGGCTTGCCAGGGGTGGGGGTAAGGAAAGGGGCAAAGTTGTTTTCCCCGCTTAGGTCAGTGTGGGCGGCACCACCAGGCCCTCGGAAAACAGCTGTGTGAGGATTGATGTACTTGGAAGGAGGAGGCTCAGGGGAAAAATCAGCAGGGAACTAGAGCTGCTCCACAGGTCCTGGGTGCGAACTAAGCCAGGTCTGAGGCTGGGATCAAGCTTCTCCCTGGCAGGAAGCAGCAACCGGGGGGCGGCAGTGACTGAAGGCAGCGAGGAAGTCTAGGAGGAAAGGCTTCCTCTGCCTGACTGTCCTCCGCTTCCCCCTCAGATTGTGAGCCCCCCCTGAAGAAGGAGGGCTCCCTGCCAGAAGGTCCAGTCCTGGAGGCCCTCCTCTGTGCAGAGACTGGAGACAAGAAGCCGGATCTGAAGGAGGAAGAGCTGATCTTAGACTGCCCGGTGAGGAAGAGAGGGGGACGGGGGCATCCCCAGGCCCCATGAATGAGTGAAAAATCCTGGAGGCTGCTTGTGTCCTCCCCCCCACCCCCCAGCATCAGTCTGGAGAGCTCACCAATCAGGAGAGCTCCCTTGTTCCGAACATCAGGCAGGCCCTTCAGCTGACCCTCCTGGGCTTGGGTCGGGAGGAGCTGCGGCTCCGGTGCAGGGGGCCTCTGACGCGCCCCCTCCCCTTTCTCTCAGAAAGCTCCTCTTGGGGAATTCCTGCACGATTTGGACCCAGAGGACTTGGAGGACGACGTGCCCCGGCGTAAGAACAAGGCCAAGAGCAAGGTGTGGCCAGCCTCAGCTCGGCAGGGGAGGGCTGGGGGGTCTGAGGCAGGGGGTGCAACTGTCCGCAGCGTCTCAGCCTGGCGCTCACAGCTGCTGGCAAGAATAATAAGCATCCATAAGACACCCAGCTGAAACCTCACCGCCAACATGCTTCAGTACATTTACCTTATCTAGCTAACGAAACCAAAATCTTTTCCGAATCTTAGAAAAATATTATCTTCATAAATGAGAAAGTTGGGGGGGGAAATTACCACTTGGTTACCAATTGTTTTCATGCATGATTGAAAGCTATCTGCACAGAGTGCCCCTCACCCACCAGTGGCAGCTATTTGTCGGGATAATTGGCAGAGCCTCCAGGACTGGAGGCAGTATACCTCCAAGCTTCCAAATAAGGAGATGACCTTGGTGGGCTTTCTCAGGGCACCTCCCTGGCTGCTCTGGAGAGGGCCCATCCTACCCTTACCCCTAACTGAAAGGGTCAGTCAAAGGTGTCCCGTCTCAGCTGCCTTTGAGGGCTCACCTGGAGGGTGGGGGGGTGTCCTTGGCTGCAGCTGGCAAGCCCATGCGAGAGGGTGACCACACTCTCCACAGTTGGCAATTGCCAGCAGTTGGCCCTGAAGGCCTGCGCCCAGGGTGAGCCAAGGGCAGCATCTCGCTTCCTGTCTCCTCGCCCAGCACCTCTAGAACGTGGGGCACACTGGATGGTGGCCCCCCCCGGGGAAAGAGCCGTGGCGGGCAGGAGTGGCATGGAAGAGGGTGAGGGGCCATTGCGGGGAGACGCAGAGACGCTTTGTCTGCTGCAGACTTGTGACAGCAGCCATGGGAACTTGGCTTGGTGGCTTCACGTGCCTTTAGCGCCACGACTGTTGTGAGAAGGGGTCAGTGGAAAACAGAAAGCAGGGTCCTCTTTCCTCTCTGGCTTGCCCCCCCACTAGAGCTGTTCCCAGTCGCCCTCTCCCCCCACAAGCCTCAAAGCAAAAGTGCTAGAAATAGAAATAGGTCACTTCCTTTAGGGTACAAATTGATTCAAATCACATTCCCTCATCTGTGTTAAAAGCTGAAAACACCGAGGCACGTGGCTAAAAGTGGGAGAGGAGCAATGTGTCAAAAAGCAGGAAAGGTGAGCGGAACAGCTGAGGGCTGTGGGAAGGGAAGGGAAGGGAAGGGAAGGGAAGGGAAGGGAAGG